GACAGACAGACAGACAGACAGACAGATAGATAGATACAAACACGTCAAGGCTTCTATCGCTCCTCTCCTACGCTTTTTTTTTTTTCCCCTGTGTTGACGTACAGAACAATTTCCTTCTAAATGTCTTGTTTTGCATTCATTTCTCTGAATAAGTCCAGGCTGAGCGACAGTAAAGAAGTGCTCCAGACATGCAGAAACGCGATTAACGACAGAGAACACATCCTGAAGCTATGCGATCGTCATGTGTTAATGTTCACTCTGTGTGCTTCCCCTGTTCCTCTTTTTGTTTTTGCAGAGTTGCACATCGCACGGATCATCTGCTAAGGGTGGCAGCGTGGCCCCGGGCACACCGGCGGAATCCCCACCTATCCTCGGCAGAGCATTGTCTAAAGGGAAACGCTTCAGGTGAGAATGTGACATCTTTTTATTTGCAGCTCTGTTTCATGTAATACTGTATCTTTTACTCGGTCGGTACATACCCAGATATAAAAGGCAGCCGAGTGGGAAATTCAATCACATTATGGCTCGCTGGGAAATATAAACCTCCAAATAATAAACAGATCATTTATTAAATGGTGAAAAAAAAAAAAGCTTTATGGTGATTACATGTGGAAGCAGAGCTGCTAATGTACGCCACATCCCGCTGTTAGCATCATGTGCTCCGATGACATTGTCATAGCCCTTTTCCTGGATGATTTTTTTTTGTGTGTGTTGATTTGGTTCTTTGATTAAAACGATGTCTTTGTTCACAAGGTTTGTCCAGTAAATTGCACAAAGTGATTGAATGTGTACTCAGGAAGATGTCGCAATGGGTTTTTTGGCGCGATGATACGAGAGGGAGAGTACGGGCGGAGAAGGCGAAGTGAATTTTATAAGGCAGAGTTAAACATTTATTCAGGCAAATTCCTTTTCCGCCTTAACCTTCAGAGGACGCCGAAATCTGTTTGCTCTGCAGTTTGGCTTTGTTGTCACAGCGGTGCTGCCATTTCACAATCCAGTGGAAGGAGAGGGAAGGGATTCGCTGGCTTGCGCTGACGACACGGGTTTATGTGTGACTCTGGTGATAATTCACAATTCAGTTTTGCAAACTGCAAATCCTAATTCCTGTAACATAAAGTTTTTAGAGATTTTCGAGTATTGTTGCAAAGGTATATTGTCTCCTGTGTACAGCTGACTGGCAAAATGACTGGCAAAATACAGTCATTTCTGTGCAAATGATCTTGAACCTAAACAGAGGTCAACGCAGAGGTCAATCGGAACATGACGTCGTCTGTGTTTTCATTCAACTCAATACCTTTTGTAATCCCAGACTGATTGACAACAGAAGAGCCGCAGCTTCTGGAGACATGTTTGGTTTTTGTTTTTTTTCATTTCTTTGAATTAGATTACATGTTCAATATTTCAGCAGTTGGAGAGTGGTCTGTTAAGCCCTGGCTGTGATCCATTCTTTCTTTCCATCTGCATTTTTCCACTTCCCTTCATTTTCCCTTCCAGGCTGCCAAATAGGATCAGTCAGTTGAATGGGACATGTGATGCTACAGAGTTTAGGTTTTGGTTTTATTTTTATTTTTTAATGTAAAGGAAAAATGAAACCATGTAGTTAAATTACATGTGTTTCATATTAAAATTAAAATACCTATGTGATACTTTTTTTTTAATCCTTCCCAATTTTGACACGGACAAACTACGGCCCGGGGGCCAGATGCGGCCCGTTGGGTTTTTAATCTGGCCCGCTGAACTTGTCCAATTTATGTTATTAATTTCTATTATCCTTATACTTCTGCCTTTTCCCTGCAATGTCTGTCCATCCATCCATTTTCATCCGCTTATCCGTTACCGGGTCGCGGGGGCAGCAGTCTCCACGACCGCCACCCAAATCACCCCTGAACCTTCCTGCAGGTAGAGAGTCCACTGGAAGGTATTCAACCGCCCGAACCGGGATTGGATCTTGCCCAGGAGGTGAACCCTGGGGTACCACACCAATGACAGAGACATTACCTCTGGGCCAAAGCGCCACCCTTGCAATGTCTGCATTTCCCCAATAGATGGCATAGAAAAGACATTTTAGCATTTTTAACCCTTAGGTTACATGTCATTTGTCTTAGTTCAGTTTTCGGACCCATTGTGGCCCGCGAGTCAAAAGGTTTGCCCACGCCTGTTTTATGTTAAATATTAATGACAAATTAGCCACTAGCAGCTGTATGTGGGCATGTTTCGACATTTTTCAGACGTCTCCTTGACTGCGTGGACGAGCTCAGTGAAAACCCAGCTGAGGCAGCAGTTGCTCGGTGTCTTAATGGAGCACTGATGTGTCGTGGAGGAATTTTTCCACCCCCCATTAAGTTGCGGCAGCGAGGATGGTGCCAACATGCACTGGCTTTTTATGTGCCACGGTGTCGTGCAGGTGCCTCCGTGAGGACGGCAGATGACAGTCAATCACCTCTTCAGCTTGTTTGTCAGAGTGGGCGGAGGCAGAGAACCAGACCGTGATAGATGATTGCAGAGAAGCTTTCAGCTATTGACCTTAGGAAGCCGTTGTGAGCGATCCGGAGAAATGCTTCATAAAAAAACATGTCAATATACAGTGGCGCATCAATATCGCTGTAAAAGCTAACCTGTGCTAACACGTGATCTGTGCAAATTGAATAATCTGCTCGAATGCAGACCGTGTGTGCTGAACTGTAATACTGTGGACATCACACTCTGTAAATCATTAAACATACACAGACAGTAGGATAAACAACCGTCGACCTGTCGTAAGAGCAGGTCGGACCGGAACCAAACAGTCAGCGCGCAATACAAGTTTGAGGCACAACTCCAGCACAGCGCTGCCTGGAGCTAAAAGATAAATTTAGCATCACAACATGTGGTCACGACAGTGTGAATGAGAGCTTGTATCAGCTGTCTAACAAGTTAAAAAAAAAAAAAAAAAAAAAAGATGTTATAAAGAGCTGTGTCTTGCCAACATTCTAAAAAAAAAGGACGTCATCTGAACATCTGCCATCTGAAAGTCCCAAAATCTTTTGTTTTGGTTACTTCAGGATAGGCCATCGTTGCCAAATCAGTATGCGGACTACCACTGGGGTGACCCCTGACTAAGGGACAAAGTGATTCCTCCGTGATACTAACCTAAAATAAAACTCTAATACAGGGCTCTCTATTGGCCAATCTTAGCTAAACTCATTTCACTTCTACCCTTTAACCATTTCTGGCGACAATCCCAGAAGTCGTCAGGTGAGGGCGTGATGCACCTTGAATAGGGACCACAGGCATTTATAATTATGGTTAGTTTGAATTGGTTTAATATTGTATAAAATATTGAAAATGACATTGTATAACATAATATAGTATAGTATTATTTAGAATAGTGTAGTATAATGGTGTATAGTATAGTAAAGTGTAGTATAATATAGTATGGTGTATTTTCTGTCATGCCCCCCCTAGAGGACAGTCATTTCTGACACCCCCTCTTCTCCGAATTGAAATGCTGATCAGAACCTGATCAAATGTACTTTCTTATCTCTACAAAACGCTGTTTGAGTTGCTGCCACCTAGTGACTGGAGGCCTGTTTATGATTCAAGCATTACATTAACGTCACACCCCCTCCCCCGGGGGGCTCGCCCCACTATTTGAATTCATATGGATTGTGAGGGAATGTAGATTCACATTGTCGAGGACAACGGCTAGAGGTGTTAAAAAAAATTTAAAATTTGGAATGTTGATCAGGATTTATCAGGATTAATCTTATTTGTTCGCAAACGCAATTGTGATTAATTAGCTTCCCTGTGGTCAGTCAGATTATATATATATATATATATATATATCCACCGTTGGAGGCAACCTGCTTCAAACTGAATTACTATGGAAAGGTCCACCCTGCCGTATCGTTGACCTTTCTGTATTTTTAATGCTTTTCCTCGTCTGCCATTAGACTCTGTTGTCTATGTTCTGCAGCCGCCGACGTCTCTGCACTGCTGTACAGAATAAGACTCAATCAACTGATTGTCAGTCACAGTGCAGAGGGCGCAACTATTTATTAGTAATAGCTACCCATTTCAGGAACAGGACTGCACTGCATTGTAAAATTGATCTCCGTCGTAGACTACCCTTGTCTCTGCAGCCCGACTAAATCAGCTTTCGCAATCCATTCTGCTGTAGAGATTTGAAGCAGAAAAAACAGGGATTACATACTTCTGAGTATTATTGATGTACAAACATTATTGTAGACCCAGAAGTAGTTAGAGACGCTGCCTTAAAGCAAGAAGATCATCCAGGGCTTTCTGTTTGGAGTCAGCAACATATATGGGCAAACTACGGCCCGTGGGCCGGATGCAGCCCCTTTTGCCTTTTAATCCGGCCCGCCAAACTTATATACATATATATTATCATTATACTTTATGCCTTTAGCGCTTTGGCCCAGAGGTAATGTCTCTGTCATTGGTGTGGAACCCCAGGGTTCACCTCCTGGGCAAGTTCGAATCCCAGTTAGGGCAGTTGGTACCTTCCAGTGGACTCACCACCTGCAGGAAGGTGCAGGGGGGTTGGTACGGTGCAGTGTGATTTGGGTGGTGGTCATGGAGACTGCTGCCCCCGTGACCTGGTAACGGATAAGCGAATCAAAATGGATGGATGGACTTTTGCCTTTTCCCTGCAATGTCGCATTTCCCCAATAGATGGTGTAGAAAACGCTAAAAGCTTTAATGCTTGTCTTTCACATATAATTAATCTTTGATCACACAAACGCTCCATCTATCTGCTCCTGACCCGGCACCCCCCGTCGAATCTTGGGACCCACTGTTGCCCGCCAGTCACAAAGTTAGCCCTCGCCTGAGTTAGCATGTTCTCCTCCAGCTACCCTGGTTTCCTCCCACAGTCCATAGCACGCAGGGTTAGTTTAATAGGATGCTTCAAATTGTGTGTGAAAGGTTTATCGTCTCTATATGTGGCCTTGCGATGAGGAGCTGTCCACACGGTGCTTTCCGCCCTCGCCGATGACCGCTGTGGATTAGCTCCAGCTGCCTGCGCCCCTGTAAAGGATTAAGGTGTAGAGTGTGAATGAAGGAATAAATGAATAATTTGTCCAGGAAATGTTAAGGTGCAGCAGCAGGCCTATAATTTCCAATTCTGATACATTCCGGGGGGAAAAAAAAAAAAAAAAGAATCTCAGCGCCGCAGCTTATTCCGCTCCACCTACTCTCAGACATGACTCCTCGATGCTCTGTCAGCAAAAGTGACAGAGCCCTGTCAACATCAATGTAAAATCATTAGGCTGCCAGTGGTCACCATTATAATTTGTGCTCCGGAGGAATCTGATCAATCATCATGATCCCTTTGTCGTGATTGGATTATTGGGAGGAAATTGGTGCGGTGTCGACTGATCGATATCTTCCACTCCGGCCGGTCA